AGACTGTGGTGGGGTCTTTACTTAAAGCAGTGAGGGGTAGGGCTCCCGGGGTTTAGAGAGAGATTGGGAGACCCGTGTTGGCAGCATGCCTCAAGGAAGGGAATGGAGAGTGGTACAGAACTCGTTTCTGGCCATGCATGACTGGGTAAAAGTTATAGGTTTCAGATTATACACACATATCATTTGGATAATTTTGTTCATTACTCTAGTCCCAAAACCTGTAACAATGTCTGCTACAGAGTAACCACTCATATATTTACTGAACAAGGAAGAAACAAGAAAAGAAGAAACATTTGTGCACTCTAGGGTATGGAACATACAAACAAAAAAAATCAGAACTGGGGCACCTGGGTGGCTCAGTGGTTGAGCGTCTGCCTTTGGCTCAGGGCTTGATCCTGGAGTCCTGGGATCGAGTCCCACATCGGGCTCCCTGCATGGAACCTGCTTCCCCTTCTGCCTGTGTCTCTGCCTCTCTCTTTCTGTGTCTCATGAATAAGTAAATAAAATCTTTAGAAAAAAACGAGAACTTTACCAAAATGAGACCATATTGCTGGGAATTACGGATGTTCTTCTCTTCTCCTTCTTTTCACTTCTCTATAGATAACATTTGATAAGCAGGGGGGATGCGGGCTTCAAAAAAGAGTTCATCAGCCCCCACCAAATGTAAACTTAATAATGTACACCTAATCCCACATTGTGGAATTTTTTTTTATTCCCCTATCTACATATTTTTTTTATTTTCTGTATGTTGTATTTGGTTCATGTTCAAATATGTGTTCTCTACTTCATACTTTGCTCTTTCATCATAATGGTTTCTTTCCCCTCTTTTATCTTTTAAACAAACCAATTTTACAATCTCAAAATATTCTACTGCCTCTAGTTCTTTGGGTCTTGATTCCCTATTTGTTGTGCATCTAGGGACTTCCCTTCCTTCCATGCAAGTTCCTTCCTTTTTGCAATTTATACCATTTTATTGTGAGTTGATCAATGTTATGGATTATGGACTTATTTATTAATATGAGTTTTCTATGTCCTGAGCTGTGAAATGATTTCTCAGTGGTTTTGCATTTACTTTGGGAATAATTTGTGGGTTTTCCCCAGTCTGTGAATGGAGGGGGGAGGCCAACAGGGGAGCTCTCATGCTCTACCACTGGCCAACTGCAGACCTCAACATGAAGGGAGACACTGTGGTTTCACAACAGGAAAAAGCTTACTTCATGATTCCAGCGGGAAAAAGGAAGAATTTCTCATTGGCCAGCAATAAGCTCAGCCAGTAATGCCACAACTCAACCAATGAGAAATGTCACCACCTTAAACTCTCACTTTCTTCCAATAGACTTTTGTTAAAAGCAGCCCCTTCCAACTTCCTTTCTCTCTATAAAGTAAGGTTCCTCTCCTTTGATCTGCTATGTTTTACCATAGTTTGCGTGTCCCAAATTGCAATCGCTCTACTATTCCTGAATAAGCTGATTTGCTAGTAAAGTTAAGAGGCTCTTTTACTTTTAAGGTTAACAGTCGAACACCAGTTTTGTGTCCATTTCTAGATATCATGTGAAGATACACCTGGATCTCTACCCCATCTGTACTGCAGCCTTGGATTTCATTCCATGTGAGTGATGTTTCCCCCCTCAGAGCTCTGGAAAACCAATATCAATCCCCAGGCCCCTCACCTCCTCTCTGATCTCCATCTCATTCTAAAGCATCTAAACTATGTATCCATGGGCAAGTTCTTTAAGATTTCTGAGGTGCATTTCTTTACCTACTTACCTTAAAAAGTCTATAGATCAATAAAGAATATAGGAGTAAGATTTTGTCAACTTCTAAGAGTTAATATAAGAAGTTGACTCCCCTTCTAGCATCCTATAGGCCCTTTTACTTCCTCACACACTTCCATAAGTCCCTTGTTCTCCCTATAAGTTAAGGAACAGAGTCTTAGTTTTCTTCAAAGACTTTCTCAAATATTTTTTCCTTCCAGATTGTGACCAAAAGAAAGACCAACCAACCATGGTCATTTGATACTGCCTTACAAACACATCAAAAAATATGCTTTCCCAAAATGAAGCCACCCTCCTGTTAAACTAAATGTTATTTGACTAGTTTAGAAAAGCTGTGCTGGTCATCAAAGTGTGGCAACCTACAGGGGAAAATTGAAAGGCACTGCCACCCAAACACTAATATAGGCCTTATGGCTAGCCCAGGTGAGGCTCCTACGATACCTCTTTTTATCTCTTTGAAGTTCAATGCAGCTCACACATATTCCAACAGCTGATTGGAATGGAAGAGGGGAACCTACCTCTGGTAGCTCACAGCCTCATTAAGTCACATCACAACTCGTGTCACACATAGCTCAGAGCCTCTCAACAAGTACCAACCACTGCTCTAGCCCTTGAGAAGCTCCTGAAAGCTGCAGCTCCAGGAAGCAGAGGGAACACAGAAACCAGAGAAGCACAGTTATCAGTTTCCTTTTACTATACTGATGGACAGATAATGAGAATCTAGATCTTAATTTCAAGCCAAAGGATTCTTCCCACTATTCACATGTTCTCCTGTATCCCATCCAACACCCTAAGCCTTTCATTGATTCAAAATTCCCGCGGTAAGCTATAGTTGGCAAATAATCTTGACTTGTTTTCCCTGGAACTTCCCACCTACAACTCCTGTTAAATCCCTGCTCAATGGCAAAGTCTAAGCCTTCTCTTGTTGTAGCAGCACCACTTTCCTTGGGCCTGACTGGGGATCACAAACCAAGTGACTGTGCCTGATCTGAATATGTCATTACTAGGGCTCTACCCCTCAAGCGACGACACCAGAATATGACTGGGGATGCGTCCATTTCTCCAGCAGGCTATTTCTGAAGCACCTAGTCTAAATCACTTATTAAATTCACTTTTTTTTTTAAGGAAAAAAAAAATCTTTGTGGAAAGAGGTATGTCCATCAATCAAATTCAAATAAAACAGTGTCCTATTCTCTCTACTACCTTACCCTACAGTCTTCTAAATTTGGGCAGTGTTTGGATGACAGACGACTAGTCTATGTAAAAAACTTCAATAGTGTTTTTGAAATGAAAAAATATGCCATAAATTTTGTAAAGATATGAAAAGATACGTAAAGATATGAAAATGATCTTACAACCCTCCTGTGGTAAGCAACAGCTTCTGCTACTCTATTCCAATTTCCAGATTAATTCATCTAGATTTGCCACTTTCATTTGCACACCTGGATAAAATTCAAACTCTTTACCTTGCCGTAGAAGGCCCTACATGGTTTTGCCCCTTTTTACATGATTATCTTGCTAAACTTCTCTTACTGATATGCTTTGTTAACCAACCAGGCTAGTCTCTTTCCCGTCCTTCAAACAATTTTTATTTTCTGCCACCATACCCTTACTCATATCATCCCTTCCAATCTGAAATGCCTTCCCCAGACGTCCTACTAATCAGAACACTAGTCATCCTTTACAAAAGTCCAACTTCTACTTGCTTCATGAAGTCACAGCGGACAGTAATCATTCCCTCCCTCTAGTCACTTACAGAAATGTTACTCCCTGACCAAAGGAAAAGCTCCTAAAGGCAAAGAATTCTAACTTCTTTGCCCCTCACAGTGTCAAGTACAAGTGACTACACATAATAAGTGTTCTTTAAATATATCTATTCAATAAATGCATGCATACTTTCACACTAGAAACAAATAATACTAACATTTTTACCAAGGCCAATAAAAATAGGTTTAAAATGTCATTAAAATTTCATTTTGATTTGCCTCAGGTATACAGGTATACTCAAAACCTGAATAAGGAAGAACCAAACTCACCCACCAAGTCAGAGAACTATGTAAACATTTGATACTATCTCTACATAGCGAAGTAAAAATAATTTTTTATCAAAGTCCAAAAAAAGCTTAATCAGCACAAAATCACAATGTGACAAGATAAGGCTATGTCAAGGACTTTTAAATAGTCTTGGGTGAATCAGTATCCCCTGTCTGAGAAATAGTGAATAGATGATTAAGTGCCCCAACCTCAAGCCCAGAATAGTTAGGTATTTATGCTGAATGATAAATAGAAATTCGAGAACTTTAATGAAAGCAGAACGATTTTTAAAAAACAATCAAGCTGATTTATACTTCATTAGAGTCCTCAACTATTGAAATATCTAATAAGTATTCATTATTAAGATAAAAGCAATTATTAAACAGCTGCATGTGCACTACATTCTTACTATCCCCAAATATTATGGGGTCCATTACATAATCCTATCTAACATGTAAGACAAAAATGCAGTTATTATTTAATATTTTTTCAACTGAACAACAGCTATATTAGGTCAGAATCCTTGACTACCCAAAACAAAAATCAGTGTCAGACAGTGATAAAATCGAGGAAAGTCAGGACTGTACATCTAAATCCCAGCTTCAAAGGTCAGGGAAATGAGGATGATGATTACAATAAATAATAACATCAGCAAACACTTTCATAGCACTTATTACATACCACACATGGCTCTAAGATCTTCATAAAGGTCAATATACTTAAAACCTTAAGAGAACTCAGAGACATATTTAACTATTGTCTTTATAACATGTATAATCCCATTTTACAGGTGATAGCACTGACACACCAACAGATCAGCCTACTGAAAGTCACGAACCTCATAAACTACAAGGCTGGAGTTCAAATGCAGTACATCTAGCTCCAGAGCCCAGGCTCCTAATTACAAGCAACATCCCTTCTGAGCTAACTCCCAAACACACTGATAACCCCTTTATCACCTACTGAGTATTTCTCCACCCTCATTGCTGCCTTCCTAGCCCTTTGAAACCTCCTCACTTTAATTATTCTTCAAAACAATCTTTCTAAGAAATACAGGATGTGATTCTTATAGCCTGTTCTGGGTAATTTCAAATGAGTTCTTGGTTTGAAGAATTCTCAGTTTCTGATATTTGAAATTTCAGTAGCACTTCACATCTGTTACCTGAAGGGGGAGAGTCAGGAAACACTTACTAGTATTTGGAGGTTTCTCTTCAGATCTGCCAAATAAAAATTCATATTTGGCCTTGGCAACACTCTGGGAATGCGCTGATGCATTGTTAACCCAAACAAATGTCTCTGCCTGCAAAATTAAAACATAACAAGAACATCAGTTAAAATATATCATAAAAATATATCATAAAGCAAACCAAACACAAGAGAATGTTTAGGCAATAATGACATATCTACTTGACAGAATTCTACACAACCATTAAAAATGAAATATGAAAAATAGAACACAACAAAAAGCAAAATACAAGATGATCAATTCAAGATAGCAATTTTAGAGAAAAATAAGCGTACATCTATAGGGGAATAAGAAAAATACAAAAACTGGCTTCGTGGGGAGCAGAACTATGGTACAATATTTTTTTAATTGAAGTATATGGTTGACATACAACATATTAGTTTCAGGTATACAATAGTGATACAAAATGCTCATCACCATAAATGTCATTACCACCTGTCACCATACAAAGTTATTCCAACAATATTGACTATATTCCCTATTCTGTAATTTTTATTCTTGTGACTTACTTATTTGGAAGTTTGACCTCCTAACCCCCTTCACCTACTTGGGCCATCCTCCCAGCCCCCACCTCTCTAGCAACCACCAGTTTGTTCTCTACATTTATATTCTCTGCACTTATCTGTATTTCTGAGTATGTTTGTTCACTGATTTGTTTTTTAGATTCTATATATAAGTGAAATCATATGGTATTTGTCTTTGTCTTACTTATTTCACTTACATAATACATTCTAGGTCCATCCATGTTATCATAAATGGCAAGCTTTCCATCTTTTCTATGGCTGAGTATCATTCCCTCGTACATATATACCACATCTTATTAATCCATTCATCTGTGGATGGGTACTTGGGTTGCTTCCATATCTTGGCTATTGGAAGTAACACTGCAATAAACACAAGGGTGCATATATCTTTTCAAATCAGTGTTTCTGTTCTCTTCTTCCAGAAGTGGAATTCCTGGATTACACACTACTTCTATTTTTAATCTTTCGAGGAACCTCCACAGTTTTTCATAGTAGCTGTACCAATTTACATTCTCACAAACAGTGCATGAGGGTTCCCTTTTCTCCACATTCTCATCAACACTGTTATTTCTTGTCTTTTTGATAATAGTCATTAGCCATTCTGACTGTATGAGGTGATATCTCGTGATTGTAATTCACATTTCTCTGATGAGTGATGTTGAACATAGTTTCATGTGTCTCTTGGCCATCTGTCTTCTTTTGGAAAAATGTCTATTTAGGCGCTTTGCCCAATTTTTAATCGATTATTTGTTTTTTTTTTTTTCAAGTTGAGTTGGATGAGTTTCTTTGGATATTAACCCCTTATCAGATATGTCATTTGCAAATATCTTCTCCCTTTCAGTAGCTTTCCTTTTTGTTTCGTTAATTTCTTTTGCTGTGCAGAAGCTTTTTATGTCTCAACAGTTGGTTTTTGCTTTTGTTTCCCTTGCCTGAGAAGACAGACCCAGAAAAATATTGCTAAAGGCAATGTCTGAGAGTTGACTGCCTATGTTTTCTTTCATGAGTTTTTTGGTTCTAGGTCTTATATTTTGGTCTTTCATCCATTTTGAGTTTATTTTTGTGTATGGTGTAAGAAAAGTGGTCCAGTTGCCCCAATACTATTTATTAAAAAGACTGTTTCCCCCACTGTATTACCTCCTTTATCATAGATTTATGGATCATACAACTGTGGGTTTACTTCTGAGCTATCTGCCCTGTGCAATTGATGTACATGTCTATTTTTGTGCCCAGACAATACTGTTTTGAGTAACATACATAGCTTTGAAGTATATTCTGAAATCTGGATTGTGATACCTCTGACTTTGTGCTTCCATCTCAAAACTGCTTTGGCCATTCAGGGTCCTTTATGGTTCCATATAAATTTTAGGATTGCTTGTTCCAGTTCTATGAAAAGTACTATTGGTATTTTGATAGGGATTGCACTGCATCTGTAGACTGTTTTGGGTTAGTATGGATATTTTAACAACATTAATTCTTCCAGTCCATAACTGCAATATATCTTTTCATTTATTTGTGTCATCTTCAATTTCTTTCAACAATGTCTTATAGTTTTCAGTACAGGTCTTTCACCTCCTTGGTTAAATTTATTCCCAAGTATTTTATTCTTTTTTATATTATTGTAAATAGGATCGTTTTCCTAATTTCTTTCTGCTAGTTCATTATTACTGTACAGATGTTTGTATATTAATTTTGTATCCTGCGACTTTACTGAATTCACTTATCAGTACTAATAGTTTTTTAGTGGACTCTTTAGGTTTTCTATATGTAATACCATGTCATCTGCAAATAGTGATGTGTTACTTCTTCCTTACCAATCTGGATGCCTTTTATGTCTTTTTCTTGACTATATGCTGCAGCTAAGACTTCCAATACTATGTTGAATAAAAGTGACAAGAGTTGGCATCCTTGTCTTGTTCCTACTCTTAAAGAAAAAGCTTTTGGCTTTTCACCATTGAATATGAGATCAGCTGCGGGTTGCTGGAATTTTTTTAATTAAATTCATGTTACTTCTCTGTAATTAGAAAACTGTATTTTATTTTTAGATGCATCATTTTCCAAATGATTACCATTACCCCACAGCACATAGCAGGAATACTTGTGCATGGGTTCTACTAAAATATGCCAACAAAAAGTAGTCTTTCCCCAAAAAGAGACCATATTTTTTATAATAAGGAACACCATTCAGCCAAACATGGGGCATAGAGCAGAAGTGCCAGTCATCCCATTTATACTAATTGTCCTAAATTTATTTATTTTAAAGATTTTATTTATTTATTCATGAGAGACACAGAGGGAGGCAAAGACATAGAGAAAGGGAGAAGCACGCTCCTCGCAGGGAGAGCAAAGACATAGAGAGAGGGAGAAGCACGCTCCACGCAGGGAGCCTGATATAGGATCCCCATACCGGGATCACGCCCTGAGCTGAAAGCAGATGCTTAATGGCTGAGCCACCCAGGCATCCCACTAATTGTCCTAAATTTAAGCATCTGTCCCATTGTTCTTTGAAATCCCTTCAAGTCCTCTATTTGAAAGACTACAATGGTAACAGTGAAAGTGGTTCACATCATGGTTCTGAATTCCTATGACCTTCTTCCTTGCTGCTTTAGGCAACTGCCAAGAATCAGAAATGCCTCCTTTCTCTGGCCCAGGATTAATTAAAAATCAGTAACAAGGCAGAAGCTGGAAAACACAGAGAAACCTGACCTAGTTCAGTCAGGGAGCCATTTTTCTGCCACTTTACCCCAAATTCAAAAATCAATCAGGATCCAGACACTGCCCTCACTGGCTTCCACCCTTCCAGTCATGAGACACCTTCCTTTCTCATGTCTAAGTAGCATACTTGACCATTCACTTTGAGAGAAACACAAAGGGTTTTATTGGCAACCAGGAAACTACTTCAAAGAGGGAAATTTTATTATTTTTATTATATTCATTGGAGCAGAAATGACTGACAGTAGTGAGAAAGCCCATGATGAAGTTCTGATTCACTCTATCACGCTACTGCAGACCAGTTCAATGAGCAGGCTTCTCTTTGTTCTTTAATACCAGTATCAAAAAGCCAGTTGTACAATTTTGAGATAACAATTTATTTCTTAAAATAGTTCTACTATCACTTAATGTTCATAATGTGTAAAATTTATCTTTTTGGTAAAGGTGCATGCTTCTCTTGGAGTTACATGCTTGATAATTACAGGATCTTAATCATCCTTTTCCCCAGCACAGAGGAAATAGCAACGTTTTGATATATTTGGGGAGCTTCAGACTGGTAGAAGAGGAATATGGTGCCCTAATTTAGGTAGAGTGGTTAAGGAAGGCTTTCTGAGGAATGAATGCTTGCAGAGATGAGAACAATGAGAGGCTAGGGAGGGCCAGAAACCTCCATCTAACCAGAGGGAGGGTCATACAGGATGACCTTAAGCATGAAAGGGTTAGGCTACTGGAATAATTGAAAAGCCAACGTGACTACAGAATAGTGGGTAAATGGGAAACTTTAGTGACTGGCTAGGACAATAACACAGCAGAAAGTAACAGTAGAGAGGAGACAGGCACCAAATACACAAGGTGTGTAGGTCAAAGAAAGGTTTACTGGGAAGCCAGTAAAGGGTTTGTAATATACAGTGATTCACTAACATTTTTTAAAAATCATTCATTTAAGCTTTTAAAAGAATATTGATTGTCATAGGAAAATGGACTGAAATGCATCAAGAGGAAGCAGGCAACAGTTAGGAGTCCAAGTTAGAGAGTATGGAGGATTAGAGTAGAAAAATGGCATGAAAATTGGCTGAAGTAGATGAATTTTAAATATATTTTATAGGGAAGTTCTACATAAATTTTCTGATAAATTGGGATTTAAGGAATGAGAGAAAAGGAGAAATCAGGGATAAGTATAATGAGTAACATTTGCTAATCACTTAGTCCTGGCAAATCACTGCTCTGATGCAGCAGAGAGAAACTTCACATGTCCATATTGCTTCTATTTCCCTTGATACTGTGACCTATAGCTTAGAAACTTCTGCTTACTGTAACCTGCACATGGGCATGTTACAGCTAAGATTTGCAAAAACTGTTTTCCATCCAAAATCTACCTCACCCAGGGAGATAAGAAAGTATGTACAAAAATGACTATGCTCTGTTCAAGATTTACGGAATGACATGACCAGATTTCTGTATGCAAAGATCAACTGACCAAGGACAAAGAAGTTACACAACCTCCTTCAGATATCTAGAGACATCAGCCACCTCTGCACTCCAACCCTCTTCCACTTCCCCCTCTTCCTAACATAAAAAATCTCAAATCTCACACCTGGGGAGATGGTTCTTTGGGACAATAGTCCTAGTCTACCATCAGTTCGCTGGTTTTCTGAATAGAAGTGCTTTCCTTGCCCCAACATCTTGCCCTTGACTTACTGGTCTGGCATGTGGCCAGCAGAACAAGCTTGGACTGGGTGACGCTAATGCAATACATGGGGTATCTCATTTAACACTCAGAACCATCCTGTGAGGTGGGCACTACTATCACCCCACATACAG